AGTCCTGTTTGTTGTGCTACTTTCAGTGGGAACAAGCTTGTCCAAAGAAGAAGCTTGGATGCTGTGGCCAGTACTCTGTGTTCATGGAGGTCTTGGTGTCTGTCCTTCAAAGAATCTTTGACAACACTGAGCTCTGTCTGGCTCAGGTAGTTGCATGCCTGTCTGAGAACTTGTGATACCAACAGGTCTGATGAATTTTGAAGTTGGTTAATTTGTCTTGCTCTCCAGGCTCACTTTATGCATCAGAGCACCACCAGTTACTTGTTCAAATGACAGAAAAAGAGAAGGCTGGAAAGGTGCTGTGGCCATATAGAAATATGTGGCCATATAGAAATTGCTCTTCCAGTAGACTACTTAGAAGGTTCTACTGCTCTGCAGTGCTTGTGGACTCTCCTTTTAGTCATCCTTCAAGCCTGACTGGGAGCTTGGTTCAGGAAGCCTGTGAACAGCAACTGGTGAATAATCATCTGATGGATGTAGCCATCCTTGTTCTCCACCCTGAATCTATGCTCTTCTGTCCAGACTTTGATTTAAAATGTATGTCACATGCACTGTTTTAGGAGCAATTATGCAAACAGTAAAGCAGTGTAGAACATCCATGTCTTAATTTACCACACTAATTAAACTTGAGAGAGGGACTCTGATGTTTAGAATCTCATGATCATGAAGCAGTGGCTGTGTCTTGCTGACGAACTGTTCTTATTTATGCAGAGGCCTCTGGGTATCAGTACAGAGTGGAGGTGAGAAACAAAAGCAATGCAGTTTTTCCCCCCCTTGGTGTAGAGCAAAGAGAGGATGTATATAGTTTCATCTTTTTCCCTAAAAGAAAGTGTAAGTGTGAGCATCTTGCAATTCAGAAAATTGTGCTGGAGTTCGTAAAGGTCAAGGAAAAATATTTTTCCTGCATTCTAAGTTTTCACTCAAAATTTGAGTGCATAGATGCATAGACTGTGCTTTTTAAATGCTGTTCTTTAGCATTCATACTGATAGTTGCATTTCTGGTAGAACTTAAGAGCTAAGGGTGAAAGAGGCCTTGTGAAGGGGAGGATATCTGAATGCTACTTCAGGGACTTTATACCGAAGAATACACAAAACTTTTTCCTAGTTCACATTTTACATTAGTTACTGTTTGAAAACTTGGAGTAAAAACTTTATCAACACAAACTGCAGCTGATGGAACAAAGAATGCAGGAATATTTTTTTTATTCTAGATGATTTATGATCCCTGTATTTCAGCTGGGTTTTTTTTGTGATACTGTGCTGATATTAATAATATTGGGGGTGGGCATGTAATGATTGAAATGAGCAAGATGAGATGAGTGGACTTTTCATAGAATCATAGAATCATTTTCATCCACTTTCTTCCTCTGCTGTGAGGTGAGTGGAGGAGGCATGAGGGTAGCAGCTTACCTCTGTTTACATATCAAGAGGCAAAGAAGCTGGCCAAAGATGCCAGTTGTAGGCAAGGGAGAGTGCAAGATAACAGGAAAGGAGTTAGAGGCTTGGGTACAGGTCTAAACTGGGAAGACTCTATCCCTGCCTTCTTTGGATGGGAGACCACCCAAGCCACGAGCAACTGTATACATGGGATGGTGCTGTTGATTACTCTGCCTCGTTTGGAATACTTGACAGTATCAGCCCTTCACACTAGAAGAGGCAGCTTTGAGGAAGTACTGTGTATGTGTTTAGGCTTGATAAGTTTTAGGTCTGCTGGGCTACTGTGTGTGCGTGCAGGGGAATTCAGGGAAAAACCTGAAAGGCATTGGGTCTGCTCTGGTAGCATTTAGTCTGCCCGCTAACCACCAAAAAAGGTGTCTTCTGGCTTTTGTATATCTGCTTCTATTTCCTCCCTTGACATTCACTGTCCCTCCAGAGCCCAGCTCGGGGAAAAAACAAGGCTTTCTTGCAGGACTTGAATGACAAGCCAAAGCTGATTGTCAAAGAATCTTGTGGTCTTGTTGGTGCCTTGGAAAAATTGGTCAGATTTTTAGATGCAGAAATGAGGGTTCAAAGGTCCAAATAATTAAGAATAGTGTGGGAGCAAAAGATGGATGTGAAATAGCTGAGAGTAGGTAAGTACATATGTATGTGTAAACTCCAGGTTTGACTCTGTTAACAGAAGTTAACTTCAACTCCCATGGTCTGTGGGAATTCATCCAGGAAGTGAACAGGTACTGTGCAAATTAGCTGGCTATTACAAGCACACTGGCCTGTATTTGCCGAAGAGCAAGTAGTCCTCGTTATTCTCTTCCTTACTCTGCTGCATGTTACTTGCTGTTGACTGCGCTTGCTGTGCAGGAAGCCCTGTTCCACGTGCTTAAGGAGGGCCAGGCTGCGGAGTGGGTTTGCCATCTGTGTGTTCTTCTAGGTATTGCTCTGTGTATGGTAGTCTCTGAAACATTAGTACAGCTTACAGGGTGAAAGGAGCATAAAGCAACATCTTGCTCTGTTCCTAGCTGACTAATACAGGGTTAATGGAAGCTTCCAGTCTTTCCCAGGTAATTACTTCCCTCTGGACAAAAAAAAAGTCTTTTTCTTTTTTAATGCAGGTCTTCTTGAGCTCTCCTTGGGAAAATTCAGGAATGTGCTACTTAACCAGACCAATCCAGTAGAAGCTGTAATCAGGAACATTGCAAGCAATGTGACTGTCATTATTTTTCAAGTACATGCCCAGCAGAGCGATGTGGTGATATCCTTTGATAAGGTATGGTAACAGGCTCACTTCCATCCTTAAATGCTGATTTTCTTTTTACAAAGAAGTTAGCTTAGGAATGTGCAGAAATACAGAACTGAAGCTGCATAATTAATAGGAATATTGTATTTGCATGGCTCTTGGACAGTATTATTTTGGCTTCAGCAATCCTTTCTTGTCATAGCTATTATTTTGGAGGAGTGAATGATGAAGGAATTTCAGAGCTGGCTTGAAAATGTTTCAGGGCTCTTTGTTCTTGGGAGAAGTGGTACTGTTGACATGTGACTGCTGATTACTGTCCATCAGCTTGTCAAATTAAAAACAGGTTCATGATAAGTATTTGCTAGATACTTCATATACTAAATATGATACCTTTGGGGTGTTTCAATGTCTGCTGTTTGTGGCTTGGATCTAGCCACTACAGATGAGATGTCTTGTTATCCCAACTCCTTGTCATGAATCTAATTCTCCTTTGGTAGCACATGGAGAAATTCCTCCATAGTACTCTAGTGAAGGCTGCTACTTCTAGCTAGCAATGTAAGCATTCCTGACGCTATATACCAGCTCCAGTATGACCCATCATTACTGGGATGCAATCTAAAATAATGATTTGTGGTGGTTGGTTTTTTTTTTATGGTGCTGAGGCTCTAAGTGGCATTTGAGCAGAACGTAGACTAAGTTGACAGTAGTGCATGGAGACCTAACAGCTGACATCCAGTTTCCTCCTTCTCATCAATGTTTTGCAAATGAGATTATAGAATGCCAAGAAGTATCATGTGAATTTCAGGAGATAAATAACATGTAACACAAGTCGCCCTGCGCAGTCATCTTTGTTCTGGTGAAATAGCCAGGACTACTGTGCCTAAGGCATTACTGTTACACCTCTTCAAACTTTGATTACCACTGGTAGAATCTACTGCTGTCAGTTTAGACCCGCTTTGCATGCCAGGGCCTTACCAGGCCAAGTACAGCTATGCGTAAATATGGCTATACTGCTTTTAGGGCTGGCCTGCCTCAGTAAGTATGAAACTGAGCCAGACCTTAAAGTCTGCCAGGCCTGAAGTGCTTCCTTAAAGTGTTGCCTCAGATAACTGTTGTGTTCTTGGACAAAAGCACATTTTCCATGCTGAAAAATATATTTGACTGCAGGTTCCAGCTGTGTGTGACGCTGCCATTGCTGGCTGATCTTTCCTCAGTGTTAAGCTGGCGGTCATACAACCATCTCCATTCTGATGGAGATAGCAAGATGCTTCTGAACTTTAGTTCACAGAATTCTCTTTAGTGCCATCTAAAAACTTTTTGTGAGGGATACTCCAATCCTTTTGTACCTTTACTATTCAATCCAATGCCATGCAGCAGTAAACTTCAACTAGCTGGGTTTCTCTCCAGCTTGCTTGCTGTTATTCTTTAGTAGTCTCACACTTATTACCTGGGGCTTTGATCTTTAGCTAGACTGTATGTGGGTGTCAGAGGCCACTCCCTTTATTCCAGCTTCTCTTTTCCATCTTTCTTTTTTACAAGCTAGCTAAGGGCCAAATACTTAACCTGTGGCAACTGGCACTAAGGTTTGTGGCAGGACTGTGATTCCTGTGCAGTACATCAAGCTGTGGTAGATATCTCAAGAACTGCTTCTTTATATAATTTGTTTCTGTCCAGAATCCATCTGTGAACAGCTCAGGAACTGGAGCAGATAGAGGGCTAGTTTCCATCCTTCGGCCTCAGCAAACTGTATGTACGTGGTACCTTCGGTCGATGGGTACTGGCCAGGTACTCAGCACAGCTGTCTCTATTCCCTATATGGAGAAAGGTACGTTCTTACTACTTTTTAAGGGATACCAGCTATGCTTATTGCAAGTTAACTAATGGAATGAAGTGCTGACCTTTAAGAACTTATATTCTTACGTGGTGCAAACATATGACAGGTGCCAGAAAGCCTTTTGAAATAGGCTGAGGAAGTTTAGTACCACTGCTGAATTGCAAGCTGTGTATAGGATGACTGTATGGTCCTGTCATGACTTCAGCCTTAGGGTAGAAAACTGCTGTGCATATGTATCAGGGCATGCCATAGACTGCAGTGAAACTACTTCTGTTGTCTGTAGGACTAGAGCCTGACAATTTAAGGTGCTCAGCAAGCAGACTATGCCTTCAAGTACATGTAGTGCTGGGGTCTTCAGAACTTTTTTCGTGCTGTGTAAGGGGGAAGTAAAAACTGCTACAGTTATGTTTTCTGTGTTCTAGATCCTATTCCTGGAGGCTGCAATCTAGAATTTGACTTGGAAGTGGATCCAAATATTTACCTAGACTATACGTTGGTTGACATACACATCAAGTTTGCTCCTGCAAACTTGGGATATACCAGGTGTGTGTGTGTGTGGAAAAACTTCGGTGCATTAAGCAAGACCTTCTTTGTCCTGTATTTGGTCAAGATCCATAAAACAAGATTCTGCTGGAAAGGCTGACTAGCCAGATGCTGGCAGAAATCTTGTTTGCTGCAACAGAGAAATGAGGAAAAGAAGGGGGAAAGGTAATATGAGAGAGAGAGACAGAGACATAAAAGTTGAGAGTTGCACCTTGCAGGAGAGGTTATGCAACTTCAGATGTGCAAGCAATCGGCAAATACCGCATCTTCCCGTTCCTCACAATGCCTTAATCCATTTGAGGAGCAATTGTGTATTATAGCCAGGGTCTTTCCTTTACTGGTAGTGAAGCATGAAAATGACCTGGGGTTTTGTTTAACACTATGACTTCAAGTTAAAAACTTTTATTTCCCGAGTGGTGCCTGGTGTCACCAGTGGTAGGCAGGGAATAGGGAAGGCTGTGTTCAGAGCTGTGTGTTTAGCATGCATGGAGAAATAAATGGTGGCATTTGACTGTTGTGACCTCTTGGAATTCTTGTGCTGATTCTTTATGACAGCTTATAAGAAGTCTTTGCAAATGTAAAGTCAGATACTAGCACAGACGCTACCTGCGCCAGGGTGCTTCTTCATTACACTGATGTGGTCTGTGCTTGCATACATTTACAGTCTAGTTTTGAATTAGTTGCTGGTATTAACCTCTAAAGAGTAGAAGCCAAATACTGCCAGCCTGCGTAGTATCTGAAAACTAATGTTAAGATCTGGGGGCTTGTGCTGGGCATGTAGCTGATCTCCTTTTAATTGTAGAGGAGGAAACCCACCATCCTGCGATTCAGGGACTGGTCAGGACTCCAGATGGCGACTGCGCTATGATGTCTACCAGTACTTCTTACCAGAGAATGATCTTTCTGAGATGGTACTCATGAGCCATATACAGAAGATGTCTGAGGTGCAAAGTATCAGAGCCAATGGTGTTAAAGTAAGTCTGGAACACTGGCATACCAGGCATCTGGCAGTGGCACTGTCTTATGTTTTCTCCTCTCCTGTGCTTACCTTCCTTGAGTGATGACATAAGCAGGGTGCTGATGCTTCAGGATTCTTGCTTGCATCTGGGATTTCTGGCTAGGGATTTCACACAGTGAGTGATGCATGCAAAATGGCAGCCACCGTCCCTTGGGTTAGAGGTAGCTGGTTATCACAGCCTGGAGTGTGGTAGAACTGAGACTTTTTGCAGTGGACTCTGATGTTTTGTAGATGTTAGTGACTGGTCTGCAAGATGTTTGTCTTGCACTCTTTTCTCAATTCAAACAAGCTCTTACTACGCTGTCTTTCTTACTACTTGTTTTGCTGAGTACCGCTTTAGCCACAGTGCTCCTTTGGTGAAACTGAAGCCATCTTGTCTGTAGCTGTGCTGCCACCAAGTGCCTGTAACTCCAGAAGCAGAGCCACTTCTGACAAAGAAGGATAGTCTTCTATGATGCCTGATAGATGTTGGGGTCTGGCATCCTTGGGTACTGAGGACTAAGCAGGGAATGCAAAGAAGAGAGGAGGGGGCAGAATATAATAGGACTGGACTAGAAATGGGTGCAATTTGTGTGGCAGAGATCTGATATGCAAGAGCAAACACTTGTTGTGTGTTTACCTACCTTTCAGCAAAGAGATTTGAGTAGGGCAAATCTCAGTGGCCATGACCTGTCTGGCCTTGCCAGGGAGTAGAATAGCAGCCTTGCCTGCTTCAGGGGCCAGACCTAGGCTAGCAGGCAGAAACCTCAGCTGTGTCCTTGAAGGGGGGGGGGGGGGGGGGGCACAACAGCAGAGGGACG